CGTATTTTTTATTAGATTTAAGAGCGAGAGACTTACCTTGCTTCTAGGGCTCATATTCTTCTAGTTCTATTTCATGACTTCTCAAGGAGTTGATAAGTTCTTCAAGAGATATTTTATTCAGATCTTTGGCTAGTTTTAAGATTGTGACCATGGGTCTCCATTTCTTAGGTAAGCTTCTGATGATTTTCTTAACATGATTTGTTGTTGAGTACCCTTTGTCCAAAACTTTCAGCCTAACAACTAGAATTTGAAACCTTTAGAACATTGTTTCAACTGTTTCATCTTCTTCTGTTTTGAAGGCCTCATACTTCTGAATGAGTGCAAGGGCTTTGGTTTCTTCGACTTGCGTGTTGCCTTCATGCGTCATTCTTAATGAGACAAACATGTTTTTAGCTGATTCTCTGTTTTTGATCTTCTCATACTCTGTATATGAGATAGAACTCAAAAGTGTTATTCTAGATTTATGATGATTTTTGAATTCTTTATTTTGTTGATTTGTCATTCTCTTTCTGTCAATCTTCTGACCACTTTCGTCAACCGGATGAATGTATCCATGAGTTACTATGTCCCAGAGATCAGAATCATGGGCAAGAAAGTAGCTTTCGATTCTGTCTTTCCAGTAGTCAAAGTTCTCACCATCAAAGGTTGGAGGTTTGTCGTTGATTTTTTCTTTTTCATCATGATTATCATTGTTGATGATCTGACTGAGTCCCACTATAGTGTTTTTCTTACTAGGATCTTTTGCTGACACGGTTAAGTGTTTGCACCCAGAACCAGGCGCTCGGATGCCAATTGAAGGATAGAAAAACACAAGGAAGGGGGTTTGAATTGGTGTTTTAAAAACTTAAATGAAATAACACTTTAATTTTATCCTGGTTCGTTTAAACTCAAACTACTCCAGTCTACCCGTCAAGGTGATTTCGCCTCTCTCAACGAGGTCTTAATCCACTAATCAAATCTTTGATTACAAACCACAAAGACCATTTTCAATGTCTTCTTGAGACTAAACCACAACTTGGTTTCTCAAGGAATTTAAACAAATTGAAACAGAGATTGTGTTACAAGGATTGCTTCTAAAAAGTTGTATCACAACTGTGATGTTTACACAAGATTACAATACAATGAACAGTATAAAAGTTAGAGAGCTTTTTGAGTGTTACAACTGTTTTTGCATGAAGAAGAGCAACCTTTAAGATTATGAGAGACTCCTTTATAAAGGCGCAGCGATGGAGATCCGTTGGAGACATCAGAGTTTATTTTTGGAATGTTGATAAGTGAAAGTAAATGTTATTTCCAAAAATACATATCTTGTCTTGATTTTTATGTTACTCCTTTGATTGTAATAATTGAATTGTAACGCATCAGAGTTTCCTTGATTTCTACCGTTGATATATCAGAGCAAGCTTAATCAGATTTTTAGCCTACAGCTTGGTGCTTCAGAAGATAGTATTAGAGCTTCTTACTGAGCGTGAAATCGGTCTAAGCTTGCTATGTTATGTACTTGGTTCTTTCATGAGATCTTCTTAAGAGATAATTTTCCAACTTGTACTCTCTTTATTCAGAACTTCTCTGCAGTTCAAATAAGATAATTAGAGAGCATAATTATTCTTTATAAATATTATTTATTTATCATCATCAAAACTATTTAAGTAAGGTGTAGAAACAAACTATGTTATAACAATCTCCCCCTTTTTGATGATGACAAAAACTTATATTTTGAAGAACATAAAACATAAGAGTCTCCCCCTGATTTGAATACTCAGATAAAAGTAAATCATTGGTACTTCCCTAAAGATGTTCGTCCAGGGCATTTTATGGAAGTTCTGACAAGTCCTTAGCTTTTTCCTGTTGCTTGATCAAAAAATAACATAGAAGTTATATTTATCAAAATGTTTGAGACTTAGTCTCAGTAACTGTGATGTCCAAAATATCTTACGTTCTCCCCCTTTTTTGTCAAGAATCAAAAAGCAATAAAAACATATAAATAATAAAATGCAAGTTGTATTAAAAAGTGGATTGAGATAAACAGAAGGAAATGGATAATCAGAAGATTAAAAAAATTGAAACACATTTTAAGAACTAAGGTTAAGGAGGTGGAAGTCGTGTAAACACTGGACCTATGAGGCGATCAAAATACTTCGTCCAACCTTGGAACTCAACATCAGGGATTAAATTATACTCATTTCCTGCATGCTTACGAAATCAACAATAAGCTCACACAGAACTTCCAGAGAATCAATGGGTGTGAGAAGAGTTATTGAGGGTTCAATGTATATTTCTTCATTTGAGGAGGAAGAACTAGAGATGGTTTGAGAAACTCGAGGAATTTATTGAGATGAATCCATTTGTTCACACATACTATTTTAGGGTTTTTGAAAGATGAATAGTTTGAAGAGAGAAAAGTGAGTGAGAGTGGAAGTGTTATAATGTTTGTGAACGAGTGAAGTATATATAGCCAACAGAAAGAAAATAGTTGTTTTAATTAAAAAAAGGAATTAAAAGGAAATGATTACTTGCATTTAATGATTCCTGAAAAGAGGGATAGCGTGAAGATATGGAACAGTTACCAATTTGACTCGAGCCTCAATGCATCATCTCAACCGTTTCAGTCCCTTCAGAATTTGAACATGTGTTTATCCTTAGAGGGTGACCTTGCGCTTAGAGTTGACACATGTTGATATTGTGAACTACTATATCTACCTTAGAAATGAAACATTTTTGGAGGACATTCGAATATTTTGGATAGATCCTGATGCAACTTTCCTTCTCACTTCTGAAGAACTATTGATCATATGTTCACACAAAGAAAATAAAAGCATAAAGTTCTAAGGGTTTAAATATACAGAAACAACATTATCATTTTGGGTATAATTCCATACTGAGATGATTCAGAATTAAATTAAATCTATCTTTAGAAAGGGGTTTAGTGAAGACATCAGCCCATTGGTGATCTGTGTCTATAAATTTTTAAGAGAGAATTCCTTTCTGAATATAGTCCCTAATAAAATGATGTTTAATTTCTATATGTTTAGCCCTAGAATGTAAAATAGGATTTTTTGAAAGACAAATAGCAGAAGTGTTATCACAGAGGATATGAATGTTACTCTAATAGGAAGTGCTATGCAGAGGATAGGAATGATATATATATGTTACTGCCTATGTATTAGAAACAGTGTAATAAAATGGGTGGCATGAGATGTATGCATTATTAAGTAACAATATTAGACATAAATAAAGAACTTGCAAGCTCTACACTTCTCAAACAGACCCATTAAAGGTGACTTCAGTGCTTCAACATTTGTTGTTGGGAATTTGTAAATCTGAAAATTAACAGACAAAGATATGTTGCCATGAGTTTTCATGTAACATAAAGTCTCATAAACTGCAACAGATAACAAACCCCTAGTTCAATTACTAATAAGAAAGCAACTTTTTCCATGGTCATCAAATGCGTCATTGGTACCAAAAATTGTCTAAAGAGAGATGGGATTGTCTCTGCTATAGAAGTAGTGCCGTAAAATCAGCATGCCTTTAAAGTATCACCCTTTGTGTAATGACTTAATGCAACAATGTCAAAGTAGCATAAAATTAGAGTCAATACGAAATTATATCCAATATCATGATTATCAGTACTTATGGTAGAGATGAAAACATGTTTATCAAAGATTTTTCTCAATACTTACGGTAGAGATGAAGCAACCATCAGTAGCAACCATTAGTACCATCGGTAGTAGAAAATTAGAGATGAAGCAAACATCAAATCTTCTACTTTCTTCTTTTTATAATCAATAAAACCTCTTCCAATCTCTTACATCAAGACCTCACAAATACCACCAAAATTCATACCAAGCAAATCTTCAACCTCTGCAAAATTCAATTCACAACCTCACTATCAACCACAAAACCTATAACAAATCCTCACACCCTGACCTCACAGACCTTCAATTGCTATAGCGCACAACTCTGATAGATCTGGATCACACAACAAACACGCACAAAATCAAAAGCAGGAGCAAATCGAAGAAGAAGAAAAAGAATAGTAAAAACAAAATGTAATTGTACCTGTTTGGATCGAGTGGCCCTCAAACCTTCATAGCCTCTCCTTAATCCCTCAACCTGAATCTCCATCAAACCTTAGTGTCACAAACTTACACCACAACAGCTTCACGGACCTCCTAGCCCTCCTAATTTTTGCCTCATACCTCGCAAACACAGAAACGCAAACGTAAATCCAACAGCAACACGACGTACAGTCACACAATCGCAGCGAGACAACAACAATTTCGCAACGACGTTCATACTCGTGCAAAGAAGAAGAAGACGAAGCTAAAGAACACAATACACAAGCTGTTTGTGAAGCCGATTTTCTCCAAAGGTCTGGCCATGTAGAAACGGTGGAAGTGGAAAGACGAAAAAGCCGATGTTTCAGTCGAGAGGTTGATGAAGATGAGAAGAAACTATGTGAGAGATGAAAGATGGAACGATTGCAGAGTAATGGTGTTGGAACAATTTTTAGAATTGAGATATCAACCGATCTGTGAAACTGTCATAATAGAGGGAGACAATTCACTAAAAACCGAAAGGATCGTAAAATTTGGAAAAAATGAAAAGGTTAGATTTTGTGAAAACAATAAGGATGTTTCTTATTTTTTTTATATGATATATTTTCTCTTCTCAAAAAATCACCTATTATGATTTTGGAACATAAGGACAAAATTGATTTTTTGAATAGATTTAATTTTCTTAGATTTTTTTATACAACAATCCAAAGGTTAGCACTAATATCGGCAATTAAATTCCTTATAAAAGGAATACTATTTTTATTTTGAAATAATATAATAAAATACGAAAACAATTAATATTATTTTTAAAAAAAATCCATAATTTTTCCTACCTTATTACTTCACTTTGACACGAGGATTCCTATCGCTTCGTTCACTGTCTTCCTCTTCACATTCTTAACAAACCAACAACCACTTACCTCACCGGAGACGGAAAAAATGGCGGAGGTTCCGTTACCGGAAGTCCAAACAAACGGCGTAGGACCAACCGCGACAGTAAACCCGTCGGAACCCCACGGATCGAAGCGCCAACGCAGGCCAAGCGTCCGATTAGGCGATATCGGAGACCAACCCTCAGATTCCCACCATCGGCGCACCTCAAAAACCTGGCGATTCGGCATCGGAAATATCTCAGGTAAACCCTCAAAGACTCGTCCTTTGACCAATTTGACATCGGTATCCGATTTCGACGAAACACTCGAAAACGAAGAAAGAGAAACCAACACAGACGGCGTATTAATCGGTAGCTGGAAAGTGAAACGAGGCTCGAAAAGACCCCGATCGAATTGGGGTTCGTCACGAATCGAAGAAGGTGAGAATATAGATGATGATGTGCATCAGGATTTTGAAGGTGATAACTCGGGGAGATCGGTTCATTCGTCCGAGAATTTGGGTGATTACAATGCCAGGGATAGGAATGAAGATGGTGGAAGAGGTAGTTGTGGTGAAGATGGAGTTAGAATTTGGCTTAATGGATTAGGTTTAGGTCGATATGCACCTGTTTTTCAAATTCACGAGGTTGATGATGAAGTATTGCCTTTGTTAACTCTTGAGGATCTTAAAGATATGGGTATAAATGCTGTTGGTTCTAGAAGGAAATTGCATTGTGCAATTCAGAAGCTTGGGAAGGGTTTCTCATAAGCTTCTTTGAACTTTATATTCATATAATGTAGTTTGTAGTTTGAGAAAATTCTCAACTATAGCCAATTATAATGCATGTTTTAACTCTTTATTCAACATTGAGTAACCTGTTTTTGGCTTTTTTCGAATGGGTATGTTCATTTATATCTCTTGATTTTGTTTGAGTTTAATGCTTGGTGTATGCATCATATTTATGAGTGAGGAGAATGTGTGTTTTGAGAAAGGAAATGGGGGAATTTAAGGAAGTGATGTTTGTTTGATTTCTGAATTGGGTAATAAATTATTAATGTTGATATTTTTGTGGCTATCTCTGTCTGGGTTCTGTTGGTATGTTGTGTTGTTTTTCAACTGTTACCTTAGCAGAGGAATCAATTAAACTATAAAAGCCATTTTTTGTTTTAACATAAACCATTTAGTTGAATTTGCTACTTTTAACATTTTCTTTTGGACTCAATTTTGAAGTTATCAATGCTATTTGTGTTGGGTATGTTTTATACTGTAAAGATTCTGTTAAACGAGTTGAGAAACTCTATTTCTTTAGTTAATATGTTCGGGTGTTGACTAACTGATTGATATGTTCTTGGTTATCGTGGTTTCTCCTTTTGCTACACATTATATCATATCTGCTGCTAAAGATTTAAAGTGATCAGTGAGCTAAGAATATGTTCTTATAAAAACTTAATCGGAGGGACCATGGATCCATTCTAAGTGTTGCTGTACTAAGCCGTTGTTGTGGCAGTTGACAATATGGGGAGATTCAACTGCATGGTCCTGCAATAGAATCTATTCGGCTTGAAATTCACTATTTCTCAAAGTACTAGTTTGTTAATCTTCTATACTTGGATTGTTATGTTTTGTCATCTAACACGATGTACATTTTCACATTCCAAGTTACTACTTTCATGCTATCGGAAAGGGATGCATCGGTATCAACTATTCATCACATTTAGTTTGACTCTTGTGACAAATAAATATTTATACATTCAATATTTAGCAAAATATAATAAAAATGTGCATGTATTGGTCCATATTTAAACTATATGTACTTTTTTACTTATATTTTTCTAATACAATATGGATGATATTTTTTCTAATATGTCCTCTATCATTTATTATTATTTCTATTTTCAATTTTTTAAATTTCTCTTTCATATGTAATAAATGAATGGTAATCTTGTAAAGCATGCATAATTCGTCTTTCCAATATAACATTAATTATGTTTTTTTAATCTATATGAAATATCCAAAACGTCTTACAGTTTGGGGTGCAGGGAGTATACTGTGTGTTATGTTCGAAGGTCTAATAACAAACATTGAGAGGAAGGAAGACACTCCGAACAACTCGACCCTTATATTTGTCGCAAACACACGATTACGCCATTCGTCGCATCTCTCACTAGTGATATCTAATCAAACAGACATCCACACAAAGAGCCGAATCACATGCGAATAAATTTAACCACCCATATTATATAAAGACTAGATCACATCATTTGAAATATTTAATTCATTCATTCTCACTCTTATACTACTTTTCACTCAATGCTAACTTTGCTGGTCCACTTCTTCCGCCGTACTGGAAGCTTGCTCCATTATACTAATATATCATTTCACCACTTCATTACACATTTATGGTTCCATAATAGAACATTGGTGTCTGATTGCGATTTTAAGAGTCTATCGAGTTTACTGATTGCAAGTGCACAGTCTAATCGCGTAATTTTAAAAGACATCAAATTCACAGGAACTGATAATCAAACTAATGTTATCTAATGTTACTTTGTGAATCTAAGACTAGTGATTTATCTTGGGTTTGAGGAAAACGGGAAATAAATTCAAACGATAACTGAAACTTTAATAGAAATATTCAATAACGGGACACCAGTATGTAACTCGTCATACTTCGGGGATTCGATAAGACGTTGACGTATAAAAAATGTCAAAATACTTTTCAGTAGAAAATATTGATTTAAAAGGCTCTATCTCACACTGTCGTGCTATTGACTCTGACTATACTCCTAAACCAGAATGCTTTGCTGTCGCTCACTCATTTCAATTAAAAATAATTTTTGGAAATTAATAAATTCTAATTAATTCTAAAGCGCTCTCGTTGTGTTTAGGATTAATACCTAATTTCTACTATCCGGTTAAAATCTCAAACCGTCGTTCTATTAACCTTAATCTTTATTAGCCTTTTACTCTTGTACAAAAACTATTTTAATTTTAGAATTAAAAACTATAACCAGGAAAATAGTTTATAAAGATTAATGCTAATTATTACCGAATCCCATCTAGACGACGAATCTTACATACCTGAATCAAATGGTTTAGTCGGACATAGTTTTGAACATAAACATGATGATATAATTATTAAACATAGACAAAACATGGTTTTAAAAATTAGAATTAGTTTATTGCTAAAATGTAACAGTACTGGACATGAATAATGAACAATATTGAAACAATCATAACAATTAAAATAGAAAAATAAAATAGAACCTGGAAATAATGCAAAATCTGGAATGACTTCTTAAATTAACTTCGCGTACAATAACATGAACTGAGGTTTGATTATGTCGGCACGCTTGATGTTCAGAGTACAAAATATACTTAAAATACTTAAAACTAGAGTTGTGATAGTCTCCCAATGTGGAAGAACTATCATTTATAAAGGTGAATTTTTCTGTCTAAAATTACTCTGCGAAAATAATACTAAAAACTCCTGGTCCCAAAAATTGAAGATGGGCTCTCCAATTTATACCCGACTCCTCGCATAAAAATATCCAACCTACCCGTAACACTCGGACAATTAGGTTGAACGAGGATCACATGATTAATGGAGACGTGAAGGGCGTGAAGACTGGGTGGCGGGCGAGAATCCAAGATGGGTGGAGAAAATGAAGGCTTGTGGAGCGTGTGGCGGACGCGTGGAGGATGTGGTAGGCACCACATTTTGTTGTTCGCTCAGGGCCTTTGCTCTGGGCCTTTTTCTCTTTTTTACTTCATTTCTTTTTTTTAATTTCTTATTTTTACTCAAATCTCTTCGGTGACCAATTCTGCTTGAGGTACCTGAAATAGGACAATAATATCGGCATAACAAGACATAAATAAATGAAAACTAGACTAAAATCCATGCGAGTCAAGTCAAATATACGATATAATTTCACGTTTGTCAATGTCATTTGTGTGAATTGACTCTTGATTCTTTCCGTTTTCCCACGAAAACCCTTTTCTCTTCATCGAAGACACGAATTACTAGTCTTTTTCTCTTAGATCACTGATCTTCTTCTTGTAGATCTTCGATCTTATTTTCTCGTACCACCAATCTCTTTCTCAAACCAATTAGATAACATACTCTTGAAGCCATTGTGTCGTCAAAGATTACCATATCCATCATTCAACGTCATGGCGCTATTGTAGCCGCCAAGGCTAACAAATATATATCCCCACCTCTAGTATATGATTATTTATTCCTCGTGACTTCTCTGTTCGCTCATGCACAAGAAGATCCTACTCCTCCTAGAATTAATTGAGGAGTCTTTAAAACCTTATTGTTCTTCCAACCTATGTAACTGTTTTGCTAAGGCCAACATTTCCAACATCCCCCTTCACATTCGCTAATGCATGGACACATGATGATCCTAAATATTCAATAGTTGCAAGCCAACCTAGGCATGCAAGGAGAAATTGACCTATTAAATAGTTTTTTCAACTTGGTACAACAACAAAGTTCCCAAGCCTTAGATGACAAGATACTTCGAATTGAAGAAAACTTACAATCGACTCCTCCAAGAGCCAACACTATGCACAAGATGGCCTCGTGCAACAACAAAAATATATCATAGCCGACTCAAGTAGATGCAACATCAGCACACAAAATAGTTCTAAAGTAACCAAGTCGTAATCGAAGCATAAAACATCAGAATCCCTCACTCAATTATGGAGGGAGAAGTGACAGTCACACTCCACCAGAGGTTCGTCGGCCCCATATCTCACCATTATACTACTCTCGGAAAAGGGAAAGGTACAGGGAAAATGACTCGATCTCTGAGTGGGAGAGAAACCCACTATTCACACACATTCTTGAAAGCATGATCCTATAATCCCTTGAGAAACCCCAAAGCTACAAATTTACCATAACATTGGAGATCCAGACGAACATGTCAACAACATGCTTGATTATTGACATGCTTGGGGAGCCATGAAATGTAAGCTTGTCATGTTAACCCCCAAGGGAGCTTCCATGACTTGGTTCGAAATTATCCCTTGTGAGAGCATAAACTCGAGGAAGGAACTGTGTGATTTATTCACTACTCAGTTCACCAAACAAAATCAGTAACCTACTACCATGATTGTACTCAAATGGATCATGCAAAAGAATAAATAAACCCTACGCGAGTTCATCAAATTTTCTACCAAGGTTGCGGTAGAGGTAGTTGGTTTAGAAAATTAATAATGTGATAGATCTTCAAAAAGGGACTAAGATTAGACTGCATGTTCTGAGAAAAATTAGGGCTAGAAGGAGCATGCAGTATAAGTGATATGCTAATAGGGCCCAACCCTACATATGTGGAACCTTATTTTACAAGTTAACTTCTAGGTGATATGCCTTTAATGAGGATAACAAATTTTGATGATGATAACTAATATCTAATGATGACAGTTAGTCCTTAATGACAAATCAAGCATAAGCGGTTAAAGCGACTAGAGACGCAAACCAAATTATTAGGGTTTGATGAACTTTAATTTTTGTTGATGGAAACCAAATGCAATATAATTGAAGCCTCATCTCAAGTGAACTCAAGAAAGTGTCTACAAGAAAGAAAACATCTGACAAGACTTAAAGTATGTGAAAGCATGTCTCAACACGTCTGAGTGAACATATCATAAAACATAAGGGCATTCTCGTAAAAGTACATGGATAAATCACACATACATAAACTTGTTTTCAAACATATTTTTCTCAAGTAAAAATTTTCAAAAATGCATTGGAGTCGTGT